GGTACGAAGACAACCATTTGTAAGACAAATGCTATCAAAAGGGCTAAACCGGCGTTCAGTGCAAACACTCTGACGGCGGGCATCGATGTGAGCGCACCCAAGAAGAAACACGAAGACTCGGCTATTGTGGCCAATAGTATGGACGGCGCGACACTTTCCAGTACTGTTCCGAAACGCTGTTCCATTGGAATGTCTTCTCTAAACTCCCGGCGCTGAAGGCTTTGCACCAAAATAAATATATTATCGACGCCTACAGCCAGTACTAGGAATGGTATCACTTCTACTATAATTAGAGTGGATTTAACGCCTGAAAAACTTAGTAAACCGATAGAAGCGGTCACTGATAACAAGACAATAGCCACTCCAGACAAACCCAAAATCAGTTTGGAATCGATCTTTGGATGCAAACGAAACACAAATCAGTTATCAACTAAAGAGGTGTCACAAGAAAACTCACGAAAAGTCTTCGAACTGATGTGAAACGACCCAAAGCTATGGAAATATAGACAAACATAACGATATAACTGATGGCAATCGTCATAAGACTAGATTTGCTTTGACGGTCCAATTCATCTTCGAGTGATCGCTAAAAATAACATTTCGTTATAAATGCTGACAAAACAACTAATATTTTAAGAATACCTCTGAATAGTAAACGACTTCAAGATCAGGATTTTGGTAATTCCGCATTAGATTAAGAAACTCCAGTTCCCAGGCGAGGGCCTGTTTATTATCATCTTTGTTGAGGTGATTATTAAGCATAATAGTGATGACCACAGAACGCGCACTCTTATAGTCTTTAGGGTCAAAGTCAGCAAGCACAACGTTTGGAAACATAGGTCCACCGAAAGTACCGGAACAGCTCAGCTCCAGTTCACTGTCGTCTTGAAGGGTTGGGTTCTGAATGCAATTGTCGAAGTGATCAAAATAGTTGTATTCCTTCACCATTTTGTTGAGATTCGTCACATTGCTTTGAAACCAACCCAAAGGTGTCTGAGTCGCACAGATATGGTTCTTCATGGGAGCGAAACAGAGATCAGTTAAGACCACTTCCTTTTGGTCCACAAGAGCCGTAATATTAGTCACATTTGTTTGCAATTCTAACACTTGTAAGAGGAATGTGTGGTTAAAAGCCGGACCAAATGTTATGGTTTTATTGGTATTGGGATCGAAGTGTTTAATCGTTGTCTGATCTTTTGGACGGATTATGATTTGTTGTATTCTATAGAAAGGGTTGAAATTCTGGTCGAAGAAATCCTTCTCAGTTCGCGCCCTACTATTAGGCGCCGACCATAAGCTCACGGGATCTGTCATTGCAGTGAAATGAGTCAAAACACCGACAGACAGACACAACGGATTGTGTTAGGGATACTGCCCTTCATATATACACTTCCCGAAAGCCCTTGTTTTATGAGGTATTAAAGCTTTTGAAAAGGCTTATTGCTTTAGTTTAAATTCCGGTTATAAGTCATTTAAAACAAGTGATTTTGTTTTCAATTGTGATAATCTTTGTAAAAATGAGTGATTTGTCTCCAAAAGAGTCTCATTCTGTAACTCATCGTCAGAATCGGGAACTAAAAGAGTGCGACCTTTAAGTAAATATAAACAACAAATTAATTTAAAGTTTAGAGACAAAAGAGTAGACAACAAACCGGAAGTTGTTTTGAAATATTTGAATATAAAAACTCCAATAATAATCACAACGATTAGGTAATAAACGATTCCCATAATAAACCACATGCCGTCCACTCCCCATATAATCCATGGCTTAGCAGGTGTGGGATAGGGCTTAGGCACACACCTGACGGGACAGTCGACACAAGTGCACGGTTTGTTTGAAAAGGGTTGGGGCGCCTCATTACATCCGATTGGCTTCACATCCATGACATTGGCGTGAGTTTTAGCATCGAGTAAATGGAAGTCGATCTGAAAGGGAGCAATGTCCTTTTTGCCAATCGACTCCAAGAAGCGACTGGGAGAGCACTGGTCGGCCCCATAACTGAGGCACAATAACGTCATAACAGTAGTGCCCGATGAGGGGAACTGGACGTTCACACACGAGTTGTAGGCGCCGTTCGCAAAGTTGTCGGACATATTATAACTCAATTCTGTGAGCATTTGTTTCTTCGGATTATACTCGGCTGTCGTGGTGTTCACGTGACAATCCTTGAAGCTCACTAAGGCTGACGTTCTGTATACTTACTTCTAAAACCGCTTCAAATGCTTTGTTCTCCCTGTGGAGAAGCACTTTGACCGCTTACACTAGACTAAGTACTACAGCAGGACCTGTTCGTCATTACAGCAAAACAACGGACTCTCCTCTGAATACAAGACATGATTTGCGTTAAAACTGTTCATGAGTTGCAAGTGGTGACAAACCTGTGAAGAGTTCGGGTGCCAATTGTCTCAACTGATCCATTGATGTCTTATTCAGTGATATCGGCGAAAGGTTATCCTCGACACAAGGGATGGGAAACGGAGAGTAAAGACAATCATGACATTCACCACATTTGCCCCGAAATAAGCACTTATTGTCCGCTGACTCGCTCTGAAGACATCAACACTTTGTTAAATGATATCAAACGCAAACCAATGAGACATTAATACAAACCTCTGTCAGCAAAATGAGACAAAAAACTACACCAATAGTTGTCTTAAACATTGTTTAGTGACAAGTGTTTCAAAGATGGATCAGTTGTGGAGCGGATCCAATGGACGCTCAGCAAGAATGTCAATATGTGTTGACAGCGAGTGATGTATTGAATGCAAAAATGTCTGATTTAATCAACAATTGCTTAAAAATTATAACAATATTTAACATTAACTGCAAATTGCATTCAACTCTATGTTATCCTTATCTCAAAAACTGTTCACTTTTTATCACTTGTTTGTTGTGATAGACCTTTAAATCATCCAAAAGTTTTGGACCAAAACTAAATGTCGCTATATTTTAGACAACAATTTACTCCCCTTTGGTTCAGTTCTGGGGGTGTTTCCAAATAAAACTATAAACCCTTATGTATATGACTCACTAATATTGTGTCACATTGTTTGCGAGTAAATTTAGTAGAGGGGGTGGAGTGCAGGAAGTCTTCATACAGTTTGTGATGATTATAAAGATATGCAATAAACAGAAATGAGTTAACATTGAAGTCATTTAAATAGTTGTCAAACACTTTCAATCACTTTGAATATGAGATCAATAGCTGTTGAGTCACTCGACTCAAGCTTACCCTATGGGTAGTGATCGTCAACTTTGGGTCACTTATAGCGGGATATGACTGTAGTTTAGTTCAGTTGTCAAACACTTAGTAAACAAACGTTTGGATCCTTTGAGAGCCAAAGAGAGCGCACAATGAGTGCCACAAACGATGAAGAAGTTGACCACAGCGTCGATCATCACAATCACGACATGAGACCAAACGTAAGCCTCAATGCTATCATAACTCCCGGCGAGGCGTCCGAGTCCGAGGAAGACGATGAATACCAGGAACCTATTGAACGACAGATGAGTTTTGGCGATCACTCGGTCTCAAGACATCGCAAGATCTCCGAAATGAGTATTGAATTGAGTTTTGCGGAAGTGATTAGACTTTTAAAGTGATTGTTTGAATGACAGGTCAGTCGCAGAGGTCGACCCTTTCGGACGACAACTCATCCATCGGTGACTCAAATAAATACAATTCGTAAGCATTAGTGGTAGACATCTGTCACTCATTAAGTGATTAATTGTTTGATTGTTTCACTTCACCTCAGATTACTTCACAAGAAGTTAAGTGAGTGTTGACTGCGAGCCATGTATTGAATGAGTATTTGTTATAATAAGTGATGTCTTGATAGGAGAGAAGAACGAACAGCTGAAGAGGGAGTTGTCAGCGCTGGCGAGTGGGCCGTACCTCATGGCCACCAAAGAGGTCGGGAATATCACCAAACAGTTAATCCAATCGCAGAAAATGGTTCAAAACGTTTCGGCGTCTCTCAGGAAAGTGTCTAAAGAATTGGTGTCTTTAGAGGAGACAATCGCCGCCATTAAGAATGATAAGAATATTCTGTTGAATGAATTTGTTGTCAATTCCAGCGTCGAGTCCACCGTCGAGTCCACCGAAAGTGAACCTAACGTTACAAATGATTCACAGAATATATAATTGTTTTAATTATCTATTTTTGAGTATTTTATATTTTTACTCATTTTAACAGATTATTAAAATAATTTCCATTTTAACCACAATTCAAATAGTGATAACTTATCAGTGAGAAGTCATACCGTAATTATGTGACAATTTTGTCATCAAAACAATCATTTATTGTTTACTCTTGAGATAATCACTTGATTTTATAAACATTTTTGAGATTATTATTATTTCTAGTCTATAATTATTATATGAAATTTATTGTAAAAATATTTCAATAAAGTTATTGAGATTTTCAGCTAAATTATTGATTGAGTAAAACTTAGAATAATTGAGATTTTGTGGCCATATATTATTTGCCAAAACTTATATCACCGAAACATAATGAGATTGATTTCGAGAATTTCAGATAAGATTTTCGGGACGTATTCTCCAATTGTTTCAAATAAAGACCAACAGTTTTATTGCCAACTGTTAGGACAGCGTTATCAGCAATTTCGCAGTCAATCGCATCAATCAATTGGAAAATGTCTTTCCCCGAGGAATGCAAATATTCCTTAAGTGCCAGTAATTCTGGGATTTGTTTCGAACCAATAACTACTACAGAATTGCCTGAAATGAGAGCCTCTAATATAAACGCAAATATTTTGTCATCAAATTTGTCGTTAATTTTAGCGACGATTAAACCGATGGCTTCATAACTAGTAATAGTTAATTGAATGCCATTACTGTCCTTGTTTTCAACAATTTTCCGATTCAATGCTTGAAAATCTGGTGTCAGAAGAGTGTTTTCATACGCGAAAACAAACTTTTTAATGGTTTGTTCCCTTTCCTCTTCTGAAGTGGTTTTCCAACTTAAGTTAAAGTTAATAAAAAATACAGAATTAAGAGTTATACCTAATACAGTACTCTTAAGAATAATATCTATTAAACTCACTTTTTGTTGGAAGCTATCATCGATTCAAACAATTTTGTATTGACTACGGAAATTGTCTTCACATCAATTTTGTCCAAAACATTGTCAAACAAATAATTTTCAGATTTTACGGGGAATTTAAGCGAACTATTGATATAGACGTTTGAACTCGAGTTCAGAATTGAGGCGAATTCCAGCGCCAAAGATGTCTTCTCCGCCCACAACGAGATGTAAGGAATTGCAGTGAAATGATTGACCAAACTCTTCATCTCATCATTTGTACGGAATTTGAAAACTTGAATATCAAATGATTTGTTTTCGTTGTCGAAATCAATGGCTTCATAATTAACATTAACTTTCGACACAATGTCTGCGTTTGCATCAAATCGGTCGCCAATTTCGATAGCATTCAACACACGAGTCTTCATTTGGTCACAAAATTTCTTATAAATTGATTGCTGAACGAAGACATTAATGGAGACAATTGTGTCGTTTATACGAGAATTTATGATTCTGTCGATTCCGCACTCAATGTCTGCGGACTCAAAGACAACATGTAAGGGAACGGCTAATGGTTGGGTAGATTTGTTCACATTCTCTATATTCTTATTATCTGTGATAACCAATTGAATGATTCCAGACTCAAGACCTGCTTTTTCCCACAAATCCATAAGATATGAAACACCGATCGATGTTTTGGCTTCAGTTACAAGTATTACAGGAATACCACTCACAAGACATGGCAGCACTTCAAAGACCACTTTCAGTATAAATGATTGCGAGTCACAAATCTTTATGACTGAATGTTTAACATTTCGATACTGACTGCCAGTCGGATAATTGAATATTTCATTATTCAAGGCATACTTCAGATTCTTAAGCAAATTCTGGACTCGATTTGCGGCCACTTTTATAGTACTTCCCGAGGAATTAATTTCCAGTAATTCCAATACTTTTGTGTATTTGTGGACCAAATCATTGAATCCTTGAANCATACTTCAGATTCTTAAGCAAATTCTGGACTCGATTTGCGGCCACTTTTATAGTACTTCCCGAGGAATTAATTTCCAGTAATTCCAATACTTTTGTGTATTTGTGGACCAAATCATTGAATCCTTGAATCACTTGTCGTCTAAGTTTGGTGTCATTCAACCACTTGAACACAATGTCTGAAGTTTTGGTTATTTCATTGATTTTGTTGTTAATAATCGATTCAATTATAGAGACCTTTGAGTTATACACTCTTATGTCCGAAGTCTTAAGCATATCATTGCTTACAACTATTGAATCGTTGGTATCTTTATTAGAGGTTTCATTAATTTTATCAAAGATTTCAAACTTTTTATTTGAAATCCAGTTCTGAAAAAAAGTTATAAAAATATTTTATAAGTTATAAATTGTAATGAAAACTTATTGATCATTATAAAAATGACTTAATTTAGATGCATTAATATAATTTTAAACAAAATTTAATAGTGATTAATAAATAGCATTATTAATTAATTGCCGTAATTAAAAATAGCAATAAAATTTATTAGTAGCATGCTAAATAAAATAAAATTTTGTAAATTGATTAAACAAAAAATAAAATGTTATAAAATTAACCATTTTCATAAAATTACATGATTAATACAATTAAATATAATTGCATTTCAATCTTAAATATCCAAACAATTTGTCAATTAATTCATAAATACCTTAAATTCTTCACTCATTTCGTGTGGATTTGTGTGAAAAGAGACAAACAATGAGTGATTGAGTCCTCAAACGAATGAATGAAACGAATGCTTAGTATCGATGAATTCAATGCCAAAGCAGTGATAATCGATATATTAATTGGATATCAGTTTTAAAGTAAATATTTTTTAATCAAAACTTTTTTCATTTGATACAAGAATTTGCAAATCAAACACAAAACCAATTGTTTATCACTTATTGAAGTGTTTCACTGAATGAGTGTTTGTGTCGTAATTGATGTGAAGAGTACTGAAGTCGACAACAATGGAAGACACGGCCGAAGAGCACGAGAAGTGGTTATACAGTACTCATGAGGACAATGACCACACTAACACAATCCCTATGACGGGAAGTATATATGTGAAGGGCTTTCGGGAACAAAATACTCCATAATTTCGAAAACTTTTCCGAATAACGAAATCAAATTTAAGGCCAATATTCAGTAAATTTTGTTCCGATTTTGTTTTCAATTGTGATAATCTTTGTAAAAATGAGTGATTTGTCTCCAAAAGAGTCTCATTCTGTAACTCATCGTCAGAATCGGGAATTAAAAGAGTGCGACCTTTAAGTAAATATAAACAAAAAAATTAATTTAAAGTTTAGAGACAAAAGAGTAAACAACAAACCGGAAGTTGTTTTGAAATATTTGAATATAAAAACTCCAATAATAATCACAACGATTAGGTAATAAACGATTCCCATTATAAGCCACATGCCGTCCACTCCCCATATAATCCATGGCTTAGCAGGTGTTGGATAGGGCTTAGGCACACACCTGACGGGACAGTCGACACAAGTGCACGGTTTGTTTGAAAAGGGTTGGGGCGCCTCATTACAGCCGATTGGCTTCACATCCATGACATTGGCGTGAGTTTTAGCATCGAGTAAATGGAAGTCGATCTGAAAGGGAGCAATGTCCTTTTTGCCAATCGACTCCAAGAAGCGAGTGGGAGAGCACTGGTCGGCCCCATAACTGCCGCACAATAACTGCATAACAGTAGTGCCCGATGAGGGGAACTGGACGTTCACACACGAGTTGTAGGCGCCGTTCGCAAAGTTGTCGGACATACCATAACTCAATTCTGTGAGCATTTGTTTCTTCGGATAATACTCGGCTGTCGTGGTGTTCATCACTGTTAGGAACTTCGAGTGATTCCGACTGCAAGACATATGAATGAAGATTTTGGCGAAGTTTACGAAACAAGAGGGACACCTCTTCGTGAAACTGGCGAATGTGATCTGATTCATGATGTCGTCC